AGAGCTGTGGCAAATGCATCTATGTGTGGAAAACCCCACAGATTGCAAAGCCACTGGAATATGAAAGGATCTAAAGACCACTCTGTCAGATAAATGTTGTCGGGGCAGGAAATATGATATGCTACGAGATTGACAGCACCCAAAATGTGACACACAATGAGATGAATATGGTGCATGTAGGTCCAGTATAGGAGATCCAATGTCTGAAAACAGAAAGATTTTGACCAGGTGCCCTTGGTGATTGATATGTGCTACCACCGTAGAATGAATCATCATCAGACAATGTCTGGTGAGAGGAAGGAAGTGATTTAAAGCCCAACAGACCCCAAGAAACTTGAGGACTTTGATATGCAAAGAATGCTCATTGACATACCAATGACCCAAAGCCTCTTGGTGATTGACCCATGCACCTCAGCCCTGAAAGGATGTGTCTATGAAAAGATGTAAATTTAGACAAGGAGGAGGAAGCAAGATGCCTGCCGATGTATGGGCCTTGTCCAACCACCAAAGCAGATTGTCCAACAGGGTATGAGGAAGGGTAATGAGAGCAGCCAAGGGTCCAAAGCAAGGTTCCATTGAACGTGAAGAACCCACTGAAGAGATCACACGTGTGCATGACCAAGGGGAACCAGTGACATCATTGAAGACCACATCTCCAAAAGCAACAGAACCTTGCAAGCAGAAAATGAGGGAGCTCAAAGGGCATGACAAACTAACAATTCCATGGAATGAAGTCATAGAGGAGAATGTTGAGCCTGACTGAAAAGGACACCTAAATGGACAAGATATTTGGTAGGATGAATTTGATTAACCAGTCCACATGAGCAGACACGTGAAGGAGCTAATGAGTATGGATGGACAACTCCAGTTAGGAATGAGCCAGAAGAAGTCAATCATCCACATAGTGGGGGAATCGCAGCCCCAGAGCATGAAGATGGTGAGAAAAAGCTTTCACCACTCAATAGAAAACATAAGGGGCAGAAGCAAGACCGAACGGTAGGGCATAAAATTGGTAAACCATTATGTGATGGATGAACCAAAGATATGTAAGACAAGTAAGGGTTGGGAAGGATTGTAAACTGCAACAGGTGCCATATTGGGTTCTGACTGAGATAAATAGGCAACAAGATTGGAAACGATAGACTGATGTTGTTAATGATGCAACTCGTGACCTAAAGGATTCAGGGATAGTGTCAAATATGCAAGGCATAAAAAATGTGGCCATATGTAAATCCCGAAGATAAGATGCTGGTAAACAGACACAAGTTAAGGTCGCATCACAACCTAGAAGGTCCTAACAACAGAGAAACCACATTTGCAAAGCCATAGCAAAAGATGACAAATGAGCCCACATGGAGGAAAGAAGGGAGAGGATGTCATCAGAAAACCCCTCAGGATTTCAGTGGAGAGACTCAGAGAGAAGATGAATGGTAAAGAGATACTGTAAAAGAGGTGTGAGGGTAAGACATAGATGGGAAAATTGGGCATGGGTCAGAAGTACAGGAGATTTGGGGACCACCCCCAAACAGGTACAATAGAACCTAACAATTGTTGGTCTAGAAAAGGACAGTCTGTGCAATGATATGCAAGAACAAACTGATCCAAAGCCCATGGGGGGGCAAGGCATGCTAATTCCATCAGTTAATTGCGAGGCAAATTGGTCAGCATAGACCCAAACATTTGGGAAGGGGGAAAAACCAAATAGGGATGTGAAGATTGATCATGTAATAAGGAAGGATGCAGTTAATAGGAAATAGGGGTAGGAGATAAAACATCACATACCTGAGACACGAAATCCAAAAATACCATAGTTGGACTAACTGACTCCTTAGGAGGGGCATGGGAAGGCACAGCAAAATCAGGAGGTGGAAATAGGTGATCCAAATCCTCATCAGCCTGAACAGGCTGAGCATGTTTGGGAGAAAGTGGGGCGAGGTCCAGAGATAGAGGCTGACCCATGTAACATTCAATCTCTCTGCAAATAAATGGTGATAAATGTAACACCAGGTTGCCGAGACCTGTGACATAGCACTAGTCGCAGGTGTGACTCCTGAAGTGGTAACATGAACTTTGGAATTCATAATCGAGAATAGTCAACTAAAATCGAAATTATTAATAATAATGCAACTGTAATAAACTGGGATTAAACTAAAGTGAAGAAACAGTCTTAATAAACTTGGAGGTAATTTAAATGAGAACCACTTCACGAGTATACTAAAGTTGAATGTGAAACTTGAAACAAACAAAGAAACACATCCAAGCACAAGCACTGCCAAATGAAAAGTGATAGTTCTGTAGAGACGTATAGAAGGAGTCACATGCATCATGTGAGTATGTCATGCTCCTATTAGTGGAAAAGTGATGCTTGATGATTTACATGAGATACATGTTGGAATCATTTGATTCAAATAAGGGGGGACAGAAGGCTTGTGGCATGCGTAAAGAGAAACGTTTGCATATAAAGGACAGTACTGGATGAGAATATAGCTAATCTTGTGAGAAGAGGGAAGTACTGTATTGGAAGGTTTAATGATTTTTATATGTTTAACTTGTTGTTGCCTGGATTGTGAAAGTGTCTAAACAAGATGGCAACATTCACGTATGCAAAGCATTAATGAAATGAGTCTCTGCACGGTAATCATCATATAATAATAATAAAGCCCTGTGGGCACCAGTTGTCATCTTGGCATAAATAATAAAAGACAAAGAACTGGAAAGGAAAATTAAAAATAAACTATAAGTGAAAAGATAAAAACTTGAAATTATGAATATTAAAACACAAGTTTCAAAAGACTTCTACAAAGAGCTAAAAAGTATGTACATATTTCCATTTTTTAAATTTCAAACATTTTGTTACATTGTACACTGATGATAATAGGTAGAGTTAGTGATATAGTAGAAAAATATGGAAAATAAAATACAAAAATTTACCTAAAAAAACTTTTGATATTAATTTAGGAGATTCTACAGATTATGCAAATGTAATGTGAAAACTGTAAGATAATCAATAGTATTTTTATACTTCATATAAAAATCACCTTGCAGGTGAACTATTCAGAGTCTGAGAGTAAATAACTACATTATATAACACATTTTTTTTTATTAGAAATAGTAAAAAAATAAAACTAAATATTTTATTTTTCTGAAACTACATATTTTTTGGAACTTTCTTGTCAGACTTTAAACAATTTCATCCACTAGTTTTATTTTTGTAATGAAATATGACGAGAGCAATGTTACCTTCTCTATTCATCAAGGTCCACACAGTCTGGTTAGTTACTTTAGAATGCAATTGACAAGATGAATTATTCATTTCTATCCTGTTGTTATAATACAATCTGTGATAATTTCACTTATGTTACACTGTTTGTCACCACAGTTGTATCCAGAGCTTAAAATAATCATCTCTTTTCGTCAAGTCTACACAGGTTTGTTCAATTACTTTAGAACAAAAATGACTGGACAAATTATTCTTCTCTACTCTGTTGTTACAATACAATCTGTGATAATTTCACTTTAAAAAAAAAGCACCACTATATGTTCTTTATGACTAAACTTACAAACATACAGACCAGATTTATTTGACTATATCTCTCACTAACTTTGTCTTCCTTCCTATATAACTAACTAGAACTACATTTTGTACAAGTATTACACCATGAGATATTATGATGTAGTAACACTTTATCAAAGGTGCCCAGAACAATCCAGTGAGATGCCCATCAGCCTCACTGCCCCAAAGACAGATCGAGAATTCAAACACAGCTCTCACCATTGCCAATGTTAAAGCTCTAGGTCTAAGACAGTGTATTTCCTAATCCTTGTCACATTATCTGACTTAAGTCTTCACTTCAGCAGCAACTTAATCCTCACCACTGGAAGTTCTACATGGTCTCAGAATGTGCTTTTCCATGAAACTGATTTAGAAACACAACAGTACCAGAAAGACAAATGGAAAAAGAAGCACATTCAAAATAAACTCTGCAACAACAAATCCTTTAGTTACAGTGATACCTGACAAATAAGTTCAAATGTATCAATAAAATGCAGATACCAGAAATGTTATGCAGAGTTTAAATCTAAAATGGGAAGCAATAGAAATAAATAAACATAAAGGGACGAATAAATAAAATCTTTATTCATACATACACCCACACAAAAAAAAAAAACAGTGCTAGTCTTCACACTTATTTGTCAGCTTACAGTTTTATTGTGACTTTTATTAGTTGTTGAGGTTGAGAGGAGACTTTTCTAAAACATATCCACATAAGAAAGGACAAAAGGAATTCTCATTTACCAAACAAAATTCAGAAAAATATGTTACAGTATGGTATATTAGAACCCAATGCTGCATACATCACAGACTATTACAAATAACATTTATATGGGAGAAAAAAACTCTAATTCACATCAATTAGTTCAAGAATCTGCAACATCTTCTGAAATGGGCATACCCCTCCTCATGAAGGATCAGACACAGGGCCAAAGTGGTACAAGTTTCTAGCATATGGTATCTTCACCTGAGCAAAATTATCAGAACATGTTTATGACCTTTCAAAACTAGGCTAAAAAGAATGTCATAATACCTGCATAAAAATTTAGAAAAAATGTACTTCAATATATCTGACTAAAGCTATGTTCTAAACTATGGTAAAATGACAGAATGGTAAAATTCATGCCTATTTCAGTAATTGTATATATGAATACTTATATGAATATAAATGGTTATGTTTCACTTACATCATTAATTTTTCATAGATGTTTTTTTGTGTGTGAGAGGGTTACCATGATGAACCAAATTACCTTTTATGACTTTGTATTTCTTAGATATAATACACATTTTAACAAGCACTAGTTTTAAGTTTTCCAAAAGCTAACTAGAAAATGAACAACCTCTAACTCTTTCACACTGAGAGAAATTAAAAGTTAGCATTCTGCTGTATTCTAGTGTTCTATGAAGTATGATAAATACCACCAAAATATGAAAAAACATAAGTTACCTTGTATTATGATGCCCCCCACTAGAACTGGTATAAGTTTACAACATTTAAAGACAACTTGAGTAGGATAGTTGAGATATCCAACTGATGAATTTGACAGACCCATTGTACCCACAGTTAGAAGTCCCAATAAGACATATGTCTTCCAAGGAATCCTAAAATAATAAGTATGTGAAGAAATATTAAAACAACAATGCTGTTATACCACTATATTAGAAAAACACTTTTGAAAAAGCTACAAAAATATCACTTTTATGATTCCTGCAATTATAATATATATGAAAGCAGCAGCATCTTGAAAACTTATTACTATAAAGTATTTACAATTAAAATAAATTCTACTCAAAATTTGACACCCATTAAAATAATTAAACATACATGTAATTGTTCAAGAACTTTTAATAAAAAACATAAATAAATAGCAACAAGGTCCTTAAATTCATTTGCAATAGTATAAATTTTAAACACAACCCAGTAATGCTCAAAAGAATAGCTTGTACATAATATAATAAATATGAATATTCACATACAAAAAGAACTACAATTTGGTCCATCCAAAATTAACACATGCTGTAAGGTTTAACTCTTTCAACCCGGAGTTGGTCCCTGGGACCGATATCCTGACCATTTTATGCTTGTTATAGTTATCATGCTATAACTTTTAAATTAGTGTGGGAACATTAATGAAATTTGGCAGATAATCAGTAAACATTACAATGCCTTCATATGCAAAATATCTAATTTAATTTTTTTAATTAAGTCGTAAGGTTTGTAAAACAATGTTTCTCTCATGCCTTTTTTA